AAAACAAGAAATAAACTTAAGGTATGTTGTTGATTAGATTCGTCTAAATTTCTATTAAAATTACTCTTTTTTTTTCATCATGAAAATGAAACGTCAAATGAAAATGATGAAGTCAATATTATCATTTGCCACTTGTTGTTTTGTGTACCTCTCCAAAGTTCCCAAATTCAAATATTTGAAATATCTGTTGATTATCTGAATAAATATTTATATACTAGAAAGTAAATATTTCCTAATAAAATTTCGAAATATTCATCTTTCCCAACTACCTACTAGGTGAATGCCTACCAGAAAACAACTACTTCGGCTAATATCAAGCGTGGTATTGGCCGGGGAAGTAGTTGTTTTCCCAGATACAATCTACAGACACAGTTTGATGTCTGTATTGCTACACGGGATGTTTCTTTCCCGCTTGAGGCTTTGTTCACTAGATGGAGCTGTTACTAGTTGACAATTTTTCTCTTAGACGACTTTTTGGGTCCAGTCTTTCCTGCACTGATGAGAGATAATACCTCGAAACTTGTCTGTAGGTGATCTACTCGATTAGAAAAATCCATTTCAGATTTGCTGGACAAATAAGTGGTAAAATGAAATTCCACAATACAGTTGAATCAGTATTCAATCTGTTTCCTAGATTCTTTGTAAGGACCTAGAGAAAATCTGATGAAATTTCTCATACATTGACATCATCAACGGCCGAAAAATTGACTGAAACCTTTCTTCTCCAGATAGTTGTCGCATCTCAAGTAGCATCTGCCAGAATCCAATTGGTTCAGTTTTTGACTCTGACAACGATAAATATTAACAAAATAACCAGAATAATGAAATCATGAAAACAAAATAGATTGTTCTTCAGCATAGTAACAAAGTAAAAATATACAGTACTAATAATTTCGTTACAAAAGTAAATGCTTAGTTCACTACAGCCAGTATGTTATTGATTTTAATTTTTTGTTTAATATATTTTAGAGCGAATACAAGTACCTCAGATTCAAACAGTGTAATGAATTTATTCAAATCACTATTGATATGGGCGTATGATTCATTAACCCCCTCGATCGAATAAGTGATAAATCTTAGCGTCATCTGTATAACTTTGACAGTAATAAACTTGCATAAACTGAAAATAACAATGGGCCATGAATAGATCCTTGAAGTACACCATTTCAGATTGTTCTTACTCAGTGGTGACCTTATTATTTATACCAAAAAAGTTAATAACGTGAAAGTGAAACAATACTCTGGTCCAGAAAAACCAATGGAACACCTCAAAAAATTTCTCTCTGAACGAAAATAAAACACCAATATTCAGAAATTCTAGTATATTTTCCTTAGTTAACACTAAGATATTTCCTATTTCATCTGTCTGGGAACACCAGTCACCTAAAGAAAAAAGGGCATCATTGTAGTTGTTTCTTTAAAAAAGCAGGTTCCCATCGAAATTTACCTTGAAAATTCATGCATCAGGTATCGCCTCGAGACCATTTACTTTGTATGGATCTCCAGACAGTCGTGTGTCTCGCAAATATTGTTTCTTTTCAGAATTTTTGTACATACTTCTTCGGTATTTGTTTCCTACAACTAAGTAGTTGAGACCATACGCAGCGGTGTGAGGTAAAGCCATCATTGCTACTATCACAGTAAAACTTGGCAAAATTTCGAACCACATCCTGTATTTTTAAATTTTTCTAAATCTAGTCAACTATGACTTTTGATGACAGTTGCATAACATTCATTAACCTGAAGTTAGTAAGTTTTGAAATTCTTCTTCTGGATTCCGGTAAATCTAGATGTGGCTTATACTGCTAATTGGCGATTACCTGTTCTTTTCATTTTCCGATGTGTTTCATATGCTCATTTCAAAATAAATAACTGAGTGAGGAATGCCAGTTGAATGTGCAGACTAAAGCTTCGATAGCTACAAACATCTGAAATGTATTCATTTTCAAAGTGAATTATGTGTATAAACCAATTGATTCATAAAGCTTTGCTATAGTATTCACGATTCGAATTCTTGAGAAAATATCCAGAAATGTTGCATGGTAAAATTTTCCAACATTTCACTTGATGTAACCTGAAGTGGTTGTTGTATCAAATGCCATTCCTGGTATATGGTCGTGTACAAAAAGATTTGAGGAGGTGGTGGAAGGTGAGCCGAAGAAGTGGGTCACTCCAAAATATGTGTCTGCTGTTATATTCATCTTTATAAGTTATCAATTCAATAGAAATATAAAATATATAAAATGGAAATGAAAAATAAAAAGCAAATGCGCCACTGTAATCAATGAAGTCGCCCCGGAGTTGCACAATTAGTGCAAAAATTGAATAAAATGATGTTAACTTAAAAGGAAGAAATAAGAAATCTGTCAATATGTCAATAAATTAGGTTAGGCTATATCGTGAACAATGATGTTTATTGACTATTATTGTTGTCATTTTGTTTTGTCCTTGTTTGTGTCTATGTCAATTTTATGTGATCTATGCTAGTAAACAGGGTGATTCGAAAATTGGGAATTGGAATGAATAATAAGAATAATGAATGCCCTAGGTCTTAGTATGATTTTGAAAATGGGTTGTATTTGTAGTAAAGAGTCCATAAATATAAACGGATCCCGATACATTGTTAAAGAAAGACTGGGAGAGGGGTAAATGGATAAGATAACCCAACAGCTGTTTTAGTACAATTTTTAATGATTTCAGGGGATTTTCTTGTGTAGATTTAGTAGAAAATACTACCACCAAGAAGAAATATGCCATGAAAAGGATAATATGCCACAGTGTGGAAGATCAAAAAATTGCCATGCAAGAAATAAACTATTATAAAAAACTAAGGCATCCTAGCATAATTGAGCTTGTGGATTCCACATTTAAAGGTTCATCTTCATCTCTTGCCCGAATCTGTTCTTTTACAACTATTTATTTTTCAGGTTCTGCAGATATAGTTGTTCAAGCAACATCAGAGGCATTTTTAGTGCTGCCGTATTATAAAAGGGGGACGTTACACGATTATTTGGTCTTGAGGTCCTTTAATAAGAATTATATGGACGTGAAAGATGTTTTTAGGATATTCTTGGATATTTGTCAAGCTATTAAGTTCCTACATGACTTTACTCCTGACCCAATTGCACACAGAGACCTAAAAACAGCTAACATTTGTTTAACTGAGCAGATGGATCCAATTTTGATGGATTTAGGTATTTTATTTTATTATTACAATACTTTGAGATAACCAATAACTTCCTTAATTCTTTTGATGGGATGTATGCTTCTTTTACGTTCAGTGATCATGAGTGTGGAAGTATGGATCTTACAACTGTATTTATACTGTGAATCATATATTTTTCTACTACTTGAGAGTTATTTTGTTTATCCATTTCATTTAAGTCTACAAAAACACTGCAGCCTAATGGATCTTGTGTTTTCATGACACCTATTCCAACGATCTTGTTTACTGTACTATTTTGTCTAGGCTGGATGTAACTACAGGCAGTTCTTCAAGAATTGTTCACCTCCTGTGATTCAGTGCCTCACATTTGCGTAAAACATGGCGAGCTGTCTCTGTCTCCTCATTGCATTGTCTGCTACTAATGTCTCTGTAATGTCTCAATGGATTGTGTTCCGTTATCAGCCCTGTAACTGTTTTGAGTCGATCCCTGCTTCGGCGAAGCAGTTCTTCAATTCTCTTCTCGGATAGTCCCTTCATGGAGGTTTTCCCAAGTATGTTCCCCGGTATATTTTTCCAGTTTTCTTCATGTTTCCAATAGACACACTTGCTCAACAAGGTTTTGGTGTTCCCACTGCTGGTTCAGGGCCTATAAATGGAGTGGACTGTTTGGCACACTCATCAGCTTTTTCGTTGCTTATGACACCTGAGTGTTCCGACATCCAGTATGTTCAGTCAAACATCCTGTCCGCCACTTTTCACAGTTTTTCACGGCATTGTTCCGTTCATTTTGTGGCCTCAAATTATTATTCCTTGCGCAAGATTGCATACATTTCAGCATGGAAGACTGATTTCGTTAATAGGCTTGAATGTTCGAGGAGAGGCATTTATTGTGGTATACGGTAAAGTTGTCTTTGGACCTGTTTTTGAAAAGCCAATACCACTCTCCCATTGGTTATTAATCAATCTCTTTCACAGTCTCAGCTAACCCAATAACAGATTTTTTTCCCATGAATTCATATACATATACATCGTATATCCGTATATCGTATATACATTGATATTGTTTTCACTGACCAATTATCTGGAAATGATGTATTGCATTTTAGCATTTGGAATGTAGGTTCGTCTTTTTATTCGCTCGAGAAAACATATGAAGAAACAATCCTCAATATCGAATGTAATTCATTTACAATCATGATATCAAACAACCTAGTAAATTGTAAACTGCAATAATCATGAATTTACAAGAAAAGCGGAACTTGGAATAACCATTCACAGTTTACCTGTTAAAATAAAATTAACTACTTCCTTAATCAAACTCAAAAATTATATGAAAAACTATTTATGTACTGAACAAGTGACTTTTTTATTTTGACATGTTTTTTATAATTCCGATTTTATTATTGAATTTGTTTGTTAGTTAGTTATTCATGTATTCGATAAAGGCATGGGTGAATCGAAAACCTTAAGAAATACAAATTTGGTAAAATTAGGTAAAAGTTACCCTTTTTGGAACTTGATTAATTGATTTTTCAAAATTTAGCAAATTCTGATTCGCCAATTTCCTTTGAATCTTTTTCTGACATCATGTAAGAAGATAATGAAAAACAAAGAACACTTTATCACTGCCAAATTTCAAGCTGTACAATATAACGTTTACAGTTTTTCAATCTAATGCTTTGTTTCTGAGAAGCCATCAACAATTTTAATTTCTTATGTGAATAGGAAAAAAAGAATCACCCGGTACCTTTCGGTTCCCAATAATATTTAGTGTTTCAATTGATTACAAAACGTCAAACATGTCATGATAATTCTCAACCAATAAAATTGTTTTTTCTTGTCTTTCCCCGTTCTTAGCCGCCGCTACTAGAGTTCTAAGAGCCAAGACAGTAACGTTTTTGTGCATCCAGATATTCATTTCAATATTAAAATACCAATGAAAAAAAATTAGTATTGAATAATATATAACTGTTTATCTATTTACCAATTTTATGTCTTATCTCAGGATCATGTGCTTCTGCGAAGGTTCAAATTTGTGGGGCCCAAGATGCGCAAAAACTGCAGGATCTAGCAGCCGAGAGGTCTTCTATGACTTATAGAGCGCCTGAGCTTTTTCATGTGGAAAGTTATTGTGTTATTGATCAAAGGACAGATATTTGGGTAATAAATAATTTTATCATCAGCATTCCTTTACTTATATCGTATTTTGCAGAGTTTGGGCTGTGTTCTGTATGCAATACTGTATTTCAAATCTCCCTATGATATTGTTTATGAGAGAGGAGATTCTGTTAATTTGGCTGTGATATCAGGGACTGTAGTTTTTCCTCAAGAAACTCATTTTGATGAGGTGAGACAGACAAAATGTATATATTTCATTCTGTCCAAAAAGTCAACTTACCCTTTACTCATTTGTGGCCATACTTTGCTCTACTAAAATTGGTGTTATTATTTTGAACTGGGAAATAAAATTTCTAATTTAATTTGTTCATAAAATATTATAAAGACGGAAAGACATAATATATCGTATGATACATGTCCATTAGGTATTATTATGGTACTTGTTTATATAATATATACTTTTTTCAGGAACTCCACAGTCTGGTTCGCTTTATGCTGCAAGTAAATCCGTCTGATAGACCTTTTATTGATAAGGTCATTGAAAAAACTAAGGACACGAAAAATAAACTTGAAATGGTCGTTTGAAGTTGAAAGACAACTTTCAATTTGAAAACAAAAATCAAAAAAGAAGTTGAATTTTATTATACATGTGAAG